ATTCAATAGTTGCTGTTCGAGATTTAAGTGTTCCACCTGTTGCTGACCATGCTTGACAAAAACATTTATATGTATTTGATTCAATTTGTTCGGATTTTAATTGAATTGTTGTTATAATAATAACATTACCTTTATCCTATAGATTATTAATATTTGTTTGATAATTTTTTTTTGTTTTTTAAGTCAAAAAACTTACATTTGTTTCAATAGATTTAATATGTTCATGTTCAGGTACCCATTTATTATCACAATTAAAAAATATTTGTCTTGTTCGAATAGCTTTACATTCAAGTTTAACAGGAAGATTTTCAAATAATAATGAAGATTTTGGTTCAAGTAAAAATTGTGGTTGTTCTACAAATGGTTGCATTTCATCTAAAACAACTCTTGAGACAGACACTGCCGTATATTTATGAATGTATACGAACACACACACACACACACTTTCTCGTTCTCTTTCTCTCATAGAGAAAGAAAGAAAAAAAGAACTACGACAATCTCTCTCTCTCTCTCTTCCCTTGATGATACATCACATAGGGAATATATAATATTTAATTTTCAAATAGTTCTTGAAAAAAAAAACACAACATACATTTACCTGTTCAATACATCGATCATATTACATTTACACATATATATATATATATATATATCGATATTCATGATCCATCATTGTCAAAAACACATACACTCTATTATAGATCACTATTGACTACGTGTCTGTTATTTATGATGAATATAAAGCACAAAAGTGAATAATTAAGTCTAAACTTAAGATATTAACCAGAGATGCATGCCATGCCAGTTATGTTTATATGCTTACTTGATTTTTTGTTCTCTCTCTCTCTTTCTTCTATTTTTACCGACAATTTCATGATCGATCTATATCTATGACGAACTTCAAGGAACAAAAGAACTTTTAAGATAACGCTATCTTAATTACAGTAAAATTTATGAAAAAAAATAATTATTCGTCAATGGAATAATATAGTTATGATCTATTATTATCAAAAGATGCCCTATAACAATAATACTATTATATATATATATAGTCAAGTATAAGACTGCTTGAATAAAGATCTAGAAAAACGGCATATATTACTTCCTTAATACAAGGTCGTTTTGGATCATCACACACACCCTTTCCTTCTCATTTTACTTGCTTTAAAGATTCACCACTCTCTACTCCTCTTTCAATTCATCTGCATCAATGATCGTCAATCATTATCACACACGCAACATCATAATCAACATATATACAAGGACATACGAACAATTAACATAGAGATAGATAGATGAAGCTTGGTTATTAAAATAATAGTCCTTACAAGAAATTAACTATCAGACATAGTTACATGATAGGCTTCTTTTTTTTTTTTTTCTTGGGTGAATGTTTACTGAGTACATGTTTATTATTAACTAAAATGTATACACAATCTAACTCTTGTTTGATAACATAGTATTATGAATGAAGGAAAAGAAAAACATATAAAAACAACAAGATACGATTTCTTTGCTTACCTGTAAAATGTCGTCATGCTTTTCATAATAGCATACATACATGCTCATAGAAGTGTTAATCAGCTAGTCTTTATTTCTCACCTGCATAACACACTAGAGATGAAATTTCTTTCGTTTTTTTTTTTCTTTTCTTTCTACGTGCTTCTTTATCAACGGGTTTTGTATGGCACGCGTGTCAATCAAATAAAGGATTTGAACATGCAAAAGCAATGCTAACTCATGTTCTATCTAGAGAAATGTGCTCATCGACTCATCGGACACGATCATCTCTTATGTACTATTTAAGTAAGTATATACACTTCGATTACATTCCCTATACATATACAATGTGGTACTAATAATAATGAAAAGAAAAAGAAAAAGCGTATTCATATAAAATAGATTAGTACAGACGTAGACAAATTGACGTAATCGAGAACAGCCAAGTGACAATGTCACTTCGCTTCTTCTATTCAAAGAAAAATACAACTTACTACTATTTTCTTTTTCTGTTCTTTTAGATAACAATTTAATATGTAATATTTTACATACAACAAATCAAATGATCTATTTTCATGCTTATAAAAAAAAAAATGATAAATATGAGGATGTAAATCGTACACTATTCTTCCTTTTTACGTAATAATAATAATAATAATCAGAGAAACAACAACTGATGCAAAAAAAAAGGATATTAAATATTAAAGAAAAATTGAACAGTAGGTGGTGAATTCTAGCGTTCATTTATCTCTTTCATCAACATAGTTGCATCATTCACCTGTTTTATATTCGACAAGATATCAATACAATGATATGAGAAGTTGTTCAGCTGTTGAGTATATGTATTGTTAAATAAGATTATATTCTTTAGTACTTGACTTAGTTAGAGAGACAAAACATACGATGTAGTTAATGTTATGCATGTTTGGGGAAGTAACTGAGATTATTGTCTAATTGAGTGAAGAAAAAAAGAGAGAGAGAGAGAGAGAAGGATGACATACCATATGCACACAGCAGCCGTTTTGCTCAATATGATATCATTAACTAACTTCGAACAGTCAATGATTCTATTTATATATTTGTCGTTTAAAAAAAAACATTCAACACAATTATTTAAGAATAAGAAAAAGAAAAAAGACAAATCAAAAGAAAAGATATAGCATCTTATCGTTGATATATTTATGTTACTTCCATCGAGACATCATTTATAACTAAATAAATTTACGGAAGGAAAAGACAGCAATAAATTGATGTTAAAGGACGTCGAGACGAGTTGATACACAACAAATCATCATCATCATTAGTTGCATTTAGCCTTCTTCCTTTATGCAAAGCTATAAGTAGCTTAGATATATGAACGAGATTCAGAATTGTTATTACAATTGATAAGAATGCTGAATAAATGAACATTCTATAGAAATGTTTATGCAAGAAAATATTTGTCGAGACATCAAGTTAAGAGATTAGTATAATATGTAGCAATATGATATGATAGAAACAATACTTAACGAAAAACAAAAAATTGTATACTTGAATAACCACAACAACAAAAAAAAAGGTAAGGTACAATCACATTCAAGTGTAATTGACATTATTGAGTATGTTATTTTTTTATTTATCTATTGATCTTAAACATATATATATTGTATTTATTCATCATACGTCTCTCTCCTTCACTTTTTGCTTGAGGCTTAATAAATCAGTTATATTTATATTTGCAATAAACAGATGACGATATTTCGTTATTTTATATATATATAAACAATTTATCACATAAAGAAAAGCTAATCGATAAATTACAATGGTCATTTTTTTTTCACACATGTATAAGAAACGTGAACCTTCCGGATGTGTCATCTCTTAACACTGGTTTTCTTGAAATTGAATATAATATACGTATGTAAAATGAATGATGTAATCTGAGGAAGAAAGAAAAAAAAAAGCAAGAATCTTTCTTCTAAATTACATCATAATTAACTAATGCTTAGACGATGACTGGAACATTATTAAAAAGGTCACTATACACTAATAGATAATGATATTGATGGCTTCTTTTTTGTCTGACCATATCTTGCTTTTTTATTCTAAAAAGCAATTAAATATTATCTTTTGATTCGTTCGTAATCGATTAAAAGAAATTTCATATATTTAATTGTTAAACGAGTAATTGATATGAATTTCCCTTAGTGACTATGTATATATGTGTGTGTGAGATATTGATCAATAGGAAATTTGAAACTTAAGAGAAACAGGTGTAAAAATAATCATAAAAATAGATCAAGATTGTCTTACGAGGTCATTAATAAGATCATTATATATATGTATAATATTCTTGAAATAAACAAAGAATACTAACAATGAGATAATCTTTTTTTTTTTTTTTTTCATGATTATAACATTTGCATTGCATTCAAAACAAAAGGAAATCAACTCATACTCTCAGTCTATTGATCAAACTAAATAGAATGTCGTCAAAGCGGAAGACATACTCTAATTACTATGCAATCTCATCATTATAGAATTGTTAAACAATAGCAAAATGTTGAGATTGAGAACGGATGTATAGCAATGGAATTAAATTATTTCATCGGTCAATTATGTCTGTGTTTAAAATTCATAAAGAAAGATGAACTTTAATACTATCAGTATATAAATATATATGATATCATTCGAAAATAAAGAATATTCTATTACCTACACGAATATCTTACAAATGACTACGCAATGATTGTTTTATTTCGTTCTTATCAAATTCAAGTCAACTGATAAAATAAATCAATACAAGAGGGTGTGTTTAAAAGGACAAAAAAAAAAAAACGAAAGAAACAGTACTTTATTCGTCACATACACTAGATAACACAGGTGAAAAAAATCACTTCGAAGAAAAAATTTAAGGTTTAAAAAGAATAAGTACTTTCCATAACCTATTTTATTTTTTAAATATGAAACATATAAAGAAATACATTTCTAACTATTAACAAATATTGATTTAAGAAAACATAGGCACAGATATTTTATGATTGAAATAGTGAAAAATTTTTCTATATGTTCTTAAGAGAAACTTATATTTTTCAGCATTTTACATCTATTGACATTGAATATAATGAAAACTATGTTTTAATATAGATATCCGAAATTTTTTATTTTATTTTGACTTTATACGAAATAAATTCGATTGATTAGAAGGAAGTTGTACTTTACAAAGAGTTACTAAAGAGAAAAAAAAAAACTTAGAATAGCGTATATATTTTTTTTGTTAGAAGTTTCTTTTAAAACTAATTGCGTAGTAAACAATTTCTTTTATTAATAAATGATCATCATATTTGCATATCTTGGGAAAGAATCATTGAGTAACACATTGTGCTTATCAATATTCTTCTTGAAATTAGATCGCGTCATTTTGTTTTTTGTCAGCAGTGTAGTATATAAATATTGAATATATATATATATATATTTTTCCTTGTAGGAGCATTATCTTAAAATCGAAATAACATAAAACGATGGGGGTAGATTTTTATATGCCTTTTTTTATTTTTCCTTCTTCAATATATTTATTTTTTAGTCAATTGGTAAAAGTATTCAAGCATTTGATCATATTACATTATGGGTTAGCAATGCTTTACAAGTAAAAAATATTGATTTAAATTTAAAATCAAAACAAAACAAAGAAAACAATTGTTTTTCTTTTTCTAGGCATCAGCATGGTTTTGTGTTCGTTTTGGTTTTGAACCATATGCATATCGTGGTCTTGAAACTGGTTCACGTGATGTTGTTTCACATGTAATTAAACAAAATAAAATATTCTATGTTTTTCAATCACCATTATTACCTGATAATCAAGAATTTGGTCAACATATTTGTCGACATGGTGATGGAGTTAAAGATATTGCCTTTACTGTTGATAATATTGAAAATGTTATTGCACAAGCACGAGCTAAAGGTGGAAAAATTGTTAAAGATATTTGGATGGAAAGTGATGAATATGGTTCAGTAAAAATGGCTACTATTCAAACGGTAAAATGAAATATGATGTTGAAAATGTAAAGTATTAGTTTTTTTTTTTTTTTTTTGTATAGTATGGTGATACAACACATACATTAATT